ATCAGTTACGGGCAGCTAGGTGGTGCAGTAGATGGAGCGCCGGCCCTGCGGTCGGCAGGACCTGAATTCAAATCCGGCCTCAGACCAAACACTTGCCACTTACTAGCTGTGTGACCCTGGGCAAGTCACTTAACTCTAATTGCCTAAAAAGAAAAAAAAGAAGAAGAAAACCATCGGTTTTTTTGTGTAATGGGGATAAGCTTGAAACATTTCCAGTAATATCAGGAGTGAAAAAAGGATGCCCATTATTACAGTATTATTCAGTATTGTACTAGAAGTGCTAGCAATAACAGCAATAAGAGAAGAAAAAGAAATTGAAGGAATCAGAATGGACAGTGAGGAAATAAAACTATCTCTTTTTGCAGATGATATGATGGTATACTTGGAAAATCCTAGAGATTCAACTGAAAAATTAGTTGAAACAATTAATAGTTTTAGCCAAGTAACAGAATATAAAATAAACTCACATAAATTATCATCCTTTCTATATATCACCAACAGAGCTCTGTAAGAAGAGATAGTAAGAGGTATTTCATTTAAAATAACCATATGCAATATAAAGTACCTGGGAGTATACCTGCCAAGACAAACCCAGGAACTATATGAAAATAATTATGAAATACTTTTTATACAACTAAAGTCAGATTTAAATAATTGGAGAAATATTGTTCATGGATGGGCCTAGCATCAATATAATAAAAATAACAATTCTACCTAAACTAACATACTTATTCAGTGCCATCCCAATTAAACTACCAAAAATTATTTTATTGAGCTAGAAAAAATAATTAACAAAATTCATTTGGAAGAACAAAAGGTCAAGAATATCAAAGGAATTAATGAAAAAAATATAAATGAAGGAGGTGTAGCAGTACCAGATCTTAAACTGTATTACAGAGTGATAGTCATCAAAACAATCTGGTACTAGCTAAGAAATAGAGTGGTGGATCGGTGGGATAGAGTAGGTATATAATACATAGTTGTAAATGATGATAATAACTTTGTGTTTGATAAACAGAGATCTAAGCTTTGGGGATAAGAACTTACTATTTGGTAAAAATTTCTGGGAATCTTGGAAAGCAGTCTGGCAGAAACCAGGTGTAGACCAACTGTTTACCAAGATAAGATCAAGATGGATACATGACCTAGACATAAAAGGAGATATCATAAGTAAATTGAAGAACATAGAACATATTACCTATCAGATTTATGGATAGGAGAAGAATTTATGAATAAACAAGTGATAGAGAGCATTGTGGGATGCAAAAGGGATAATCGATTACATTAAATTAAAAAATTTTTGTACAAATAAACCAATGTAGCCAAGATTAGAAGGAAAGCAGAAAATTGGGGGAAAAATTTTTTATAGACAGTTTGTTGGATAAAGACCTCATATCTCAAATATATAGAGGACTGAGTCAAATTTATAAGAATAGGAATCATTCCCCAGTTGATAACTGGTCAAAGCATATGAACGGACAGTTTTTGGAAGAAGAAATCAAAGCTGTATATAGTCATTTAAAAAAATGCTCTAAGATCATACAAATGGGAAAAGAACCCACATGTACAAAAATATTTATAGCAGCTCTTTCTGTGGTGACAAAGAATTGGAAATTGAGAGGATGCCCATCAATTGGGGAATGGTTGAACAAGTTGTGGTATATGAATGTAATGGAATACTGTTGTGCTGTAAGAAATGATGAACGGGGGGCAGCTAGGTGGCACAGTGGATAGGCCACCAGCCCTGAAGTCAGGAGGACCTGAGTTCAAATCCGGCCTCAGACCAAACACTTGACACTTACTAGCTGTGTGACCCTGGGCAAGTCACTTAACCCCAATTGCCTAAAAAGCAAAAGAAAAAGAAAAAGAAATGATGAACAGGCTGACTTCAGAAAAACCTGGAAAGACTGACTTGTATGGTCTGATGCTGAGTGAAGCGAGCAGAACCAGGAGAACATTGTACACAGTAACAGCCACGTTGTGTGATGACTAATGTTGATAAACTTAATCTTTCCCAGCACTACAAGGATCTAAGACATCTCCAAAGGCCTCATGATGGAAAATGCTATCCACATCCAAAGGAAGAACTATGGAGTTTGAATGCAGATCGAAGCATACTATTTGCTGTTTTTTTTCTTCTGTTGACTTTTGTTTCCTCTTTGTGGTGGTTCCTCCTATTGGTTCTAATTCTTACAACATCACTAATGTGAAAATATGTTTAATAGGAATGTATATGTATAGCCTATATCAGATTGTGCACTGTCTTGGGGAGGGTGGTGGAGAGGGAGGGGGAGAAAAATTTTAAACTCAAAAGCATATGGAAGTGATTGTTGATAAGTCAAAATAAATTAATTAGGGGCAGCTAGGTGGCGCAGTGGATAGAGCACCAGCCCTGAAGTCAGGTGGACCTGAGTTCAAATCCGGCCTCAGACCAAACACTTGACACTTACTAGCTGTGTGACCCTGGGCAAGTCACTTAACCCCAATTGCCTAAAAATAATAAAAAACAAACACAATAAATTAATTTAAAAAAAAGAAACAGAAAAAAATTAAAAAAAAAATACTCTAATTATTATTGATTAGAAAAATGCAAATTAAAATAACTCTGAGTTATCACCTCACACCTATCAGTTTGGTTAAAATGATAGAAGGGGAAAATGACAAATATTGGAGGGGATATAAAAAAATCAGGACGCTAATACACTATTGGTGGAACTGTGAACTGATCCAACCATTCTGGAGAGCAATCTGGAATTATGCCCAAAGAATTATAAAACTTTGTATACCCTTTGGTCCAACGATACCGCTATTAGGTCTGTTTCCCAAGGTGATCAGGAAAAATGGAAAAGAAAGGACCTATGTGTTCCAAAATATTTATAGCAGCTCTCTTTGTGGTGGCAAAAAGAACTGGAAATTGAGGGGTTGCCCATCAATCAGGGAGTGTCTGAACAAGTTGTGGTCTATGATTGTGATGACATACTACTGTGCTGTCAGAAATGAGGAGCAAGTTGATTTTAGAAAAACATTGAAAGATTTGCATGAAATGATGCATAGTGAAATGAGCAGAATCAAGAGAATGTTATGTACAGTAACACCAATATTAGTTGAAGAGTAACTGTGAATGACTAAGCAATTCTGAGCAAGACGAATATTTAAATCAATTATGGAGGACTTATGCAGGAAGATGCTATCTACCTCCAGGGAAAGAACTTGTGTATGGAAGTATATATTGTTTGCCTCCTCTAGTGGAGGGTTGTAAGAGAGGGAGACAGCTCAGAGCTCAAAATGTAACCAAAATAAATAAAATAAATATGAAAACCCCCCAATTAATGGCCATCTGCACCTTAATTTAAAAGCTCTTCCTTAGGGCACTAATGTAGAACTATGGCTCTGGAATTTCATGGCATACAGGTATCAAAAACCTTTACAAATAGTTTTCCTTATTGACCAGCTGGATACGTGCTCTTCTGGGAGTATCCCTCTCTCAGTTTTCTCAGTAATTTCTGTCTTTCCTGGTTGCATACTCTCTCTTATTTCTAAACTCCCCCCCACACACACACACAATACACTGCTGAAAGTGTGAACTCCCTACTCTTGCTGCTCAGCCTTATAGGCCACTCTAACATCTCTGAGAGTGTAGGCCCTGGGGACTATATTTCTCTATTCAGCAAGGAATACTTTTTGAATCTAGGTTTTTTTTTCCACTTAATAGTATTTTATTTTTTTCCATTTTCATGTAAAGAGTTTTCAGCCTTCATTTTTGTAAAATTTTGAGTTTAAAATTTTTCTGCCTCCTTCCTTTTCCTCCCTCCCCAAGACAGCAAACAATCTGATGTGGGTTATACATGTACAATCATGTTAAACATATTTCCACATTAGTCATGTTGTGAAAGAAGAATCAGAACAAAAGGGGAAAACCACGAGAAAGAAAAAACAAAAACAAAGTGAAAATAGTATTCTTCAATCTGCATTTAGACCCCATAGTTCTCTGGATGTGGTTAGCATTTTCTATCATGAGTCTTTTGGAATTGTCTTGGATTATTGTATTGCTGAGAAGAGCTGAGTCTCTCATAGTTAATTATCGCTCACTGTTGCTGTTGTGTAGAATGGTTCTCTTGGTTCTGCTCACTTTGCTCAGCATCAGTTCATGTAAGTCTGGGTTTTTCTGAAATCTGCCTGCTCATCATTTCTTATAGCACGTTAGTATTCTGTCACAATCCTATACCACAGCTTGTTCAGCCATTCTCCAATGGATGATCATTCCCTCAATTTCCAATTCTTTGCCACCACAAAAAGAACTGCTATAAATATTTTTGTACATGTGGGTTTTTTTCCCTTTCTTAGGATCTCTTTGGGATACAGACCTAGTAGTGGTATTGCTGGGTCAAAGGGTACGCACAGTTTTATAGCCCTTTGGGCATAGTTGAATCTAGTCTTACATCAGCATGGTTCCTCCTTCTCCCAGATAGATTTCATATATGTATATGTATATATATATGAAATATATATAGATATTTCCCCAATCACATATTAAAACACTTTTCTTTAACCTTTTTTTTTAAGTTTTGAGTTCCAAATTTTATCCCAACCTCTCTCCCTGAGATGGTAAGCAATCTGATATAGTTTATACATGTGCAATCATGTAAAACATTTCCATATTAGTCATTTTGTACAAGAAGACTCAAATAACCCCAGATTTCTGAGTGTTCTTACTTGAAATTTAAAGACAGTGAATATCTTAGCAGCTTCTAAAGCTTAAAACTTGTCTTAGATATACTGCTTTCTGAAAAACAACAACAACAAGAACAACAACAAAAACTTGTATCTTATACTAGACCATTTTTCGATAATAAATTTTTAAAGAAAAACCCTAGTGTTTTTATCAGAGTACTTTTCTCCCATCTGCTTGTGTGTGTCTGTAGTGGAAAGGGGCATTGCCAAGGGTCATCCCAGGGAAGCCACAGGCCAGACTGACTTGGGATTCTTTTTACCTTTTTTAGTGCACCCTGTTTTCCGGATTCTTACCTTTCTTCCCAGGGAGAGCACAAGAGACAACTCCATGCCAGCTGATCTTGTAGCACCTTGGCCTCAGGTAAGCTATATTTTCCTTGCCAAATTCCCTTTGCCACTCTCTAAGTGTAGCTTTGGCTCTTTTCTCAGCATTCTGTCTTAGAAGTCCCTTGTTTAGGGACTTGAACCTCGTCTCCTTCCATCAAGAGCCTGCCAGATTACATGGGTCATTCACTTCATTTTATAGATGGGATTTAATTGAATTTTGGGGGGGAGTATATGAGGCAGTAGTAGAACCCAAGTTTTCTGGCTGTGTTATAGAAACAACCCTTTTCCATCCTGATTCCCATGTGCCACATAAACTTTATCCCTGCTCTTCTAGATCTTCCTTTGATCCCACACCAGATTGTTGAGATTGCACCCAGATTAATAGAACCCTCTACTTTTAGGAGTTAATAACATTTGAGGATGTAGCTGTGTATCTTTCTGGGGGGGGGGGCAACTGGACCTTGCTTAGAGGAGGCTCTACGTCTACATGGATGTGATGATGGAGAATTATGGGAATGTGGCCTCATTGGATAAGGCCCCCCCGCCAGCCTGACTCTGGAATCAGAATCTTTTTCTCGAGTCCTTGTTTTAGTAACTTGGATTGTAAGTAAATGAAAATTGCCACAAATAGTCAGACTAGTAAGCTACCTGCCACAGTGTTATGGGTCTGCACGGTGGTATCAAGAGACTATTTTTAGACAGATGTGCTAATTGTCCACTCTGGTATGGACCTCTGAAGGTTAGCACCATTCCCCAATATTTATATCTTTAAATATCCTTCATTAAGTAAATTTTTTTTCTAGAAAAACTTTTTGGATAGAAATCATGATATAGTACAAATGCAGTTTAAAGTACAAAAAATTTTATGTTTGTCTTTATACAGATTTTTGCCTTATTATTATGTCTTTTCCCTAAACCATTGCAGGTGCTCATGGGATGCTACAGACAGTTCAGGTCAGTACATTTCAGTAAGGACAGAAAGGAGTTGGGGAAGGTTGAAGGAAAGGCAATTATAGTGATGCCAGGGACGGAGGGACTTCCATACAGGGACACTGTTAAATTAAGACCTTTCAGTCTTGAAAGGCCAAGGCCAAGAAAGGATGTGATCTAAGATGATGAAATCTGGAGGTTGGACCTGGCCTTGGTCATCAGTTCTTTTCATACTAGGAGGGAGTCAGCTCCTGAATGTTAAGGGATGTTGTTTCTGGACAGAAAAAAAGTAAAAACATTTTCATACAGGAAGGAAAGACCGTTTTAAAGAATTGTTCTGTGTAAGTAATAACAAAGTTGGATTTAAGTGTTTTCTTCCTTGTCAGCCATTGTAGGATTTAAAAAACAAATTGTTCTAAAAGTTCAGCTTGGCAGATTGGAAAGACCGCTGGCTTGGGACTTGGAGAACCTGGGTTCAAATCCTAGCCATAGTATTAAGTACCTTTGTGAGTGTGAGGACCAGTGACTCCCCCTCATTGGACCCCAGCTTCCCCATTTGTAAACAAGCTGGTTGGGTTAGGTGAGCTCTAAGGCCCCTTCTGCCTTTAATTCCTGTCATCCTACCTGATGCTTTCCTTAAGTCATGCCCATTTTTCCATTTTTTCCTCTTCTAGCTTCCTTCTAGGTGGAAGTGACCCTATCTTTTTAGTCTGTCTTCGTGAAGAAGTTGCTTCTTCCTCTTGACTGTTTTCACTGGTTGTCTCTGGACCTCTTCTACCTTTTCTATAAGGTCTTTAAAGCAGTCATTTAAGTTTAAATCCCAGGAAAAGAGGTTGGTAATTCCTGATCATTCTGCTCCCTGTTCTCAGTCTTGTCTGTACTTAGAAGTGGGTGGAGCATTCCTAAAGCTCACCATGCTTCTATACCTTTTTATTTGTCCCTATAAGAGGCCCTTCCACCTTCTACCAGGTCTCCAATTCAGTTGCCCCAGTTTCTGGGAATTTCCCATGATACAGGCCAAAACAAAAAATGTCATTTGTCTCTTTGGGCCCAGACATGTCTAGATTCGCTAAGCTTGCTTCTGTCTTCTTACTATAGGTAATAGATTCCTGAATCACCTTCATAGAGTCCTCAGCCCTCACCCTGGGCCTTGTTAATGTTATCTCATTGTATGATTCTTTTCTTTCTTCAATCCCTAAACACAGTTGGACTGGGGCTGAGCTCTGAAATAGTTTTTCCTAAGTCCAGGTGGTAATTCATAGCTTCTCCTTTGAACAGAATTTCCAATTTCCAAACCTAACCTGATCTCTCACCTGGAACAAGGGGAGGTAGTATAGGGGCAAGATCTGCCCAGAATGGAAATTAGGATCATCCCAGGTGATGAGGGAAAGAGAAATGGACCTGTGGGAGCCAGAGGGAAGTAATGGTCCAATTGCTTAGGAATGTAGTGACAGTTCTTTTTTTTTTAGGATAGGATGGCAGTCTGTCCACAGTGCTAGTTTTGACTGCCCTGGTGGTAAGTAGCATGGGAAACAATATGGGCGAGCTAGCTTTCCCTTTCTTTAATCCTTGGGGCTGCTACCCCAACTTCTGATACTGTGAAAGAATGACTGCTTCCTTTCCCTAGTGTTGGAATGATTATGGAAGACATTATAGGCCCAAGATTGGATAGAACGGTGTCTGTTCAAATGCAAATGTGGAGTTTTGAATATACAAAATAAACACCTATGCAAAAGAAATCAAGAGTAAATGATTATTGTCTCAGTGAAAGGTTATTTTTATAAAGGGATATGATATATGAACATCGAAACTGGAATGGGCAAGGTTGGGATTGTTACCCCAGGAGCCAAGACAAAGGGTATTTCATGTCTCAAAAGAAGATAGCAACTCCTGGGATGAAGAGCTGTTCAAAAGAAGAGGGAGTTGAGAGCTGCCTTGTGTAATGTAAGCCAGGGAGGGCTAACTACGTTTTGTAACCATGAACTGTACTGTGTACTAATTCAAGCTGAATGTGTACTGTTACTTGTATACCTGACTGGCTCTCACGTGCTAGATTCCATAGATGGAGGTGGGGGGCTTAGAGGGGCAGTGTGGACGGGGGCTCGTGATATCCCACGCACCTCTGCCTGGCAGTCTGAGGAGGAATCTGACGATCCTTGGCACAAAGCAGTGCCCACCATGATGAGCTTTTCATCATAGCTATTTGGCTCTATTTCTATCCATTGTAATTCCCACACTCCTTGAAAGGCTGTTTTCTAACTTTTCCTTCTGCTATTCCTTGTTCCTTTTTTTGAACTTATTCTGTCAATCATTCCATTCTTCCTTCTCTCCATCTTTCTCCCTCCTATCCCTTATTCTCTTCTTTCCTTCCTTCCTTTTCTCCCCCTTCTTGAACTTTTCATTTTACTATTCTTTGTTTTAAAAATTGTTCCTTCTTTCTCTCCAACTCCTACCCTTCCCTCTCCTTCCCTTTTCTCTTTTTCCATCCCCTTCTCCCTTCCTTTTCTTCCTTCCTCTCCTTCTTCCCCCCCGTCCATCTCTCCCTATCTTTCTTTTCTTTTCTTGCTGTCTATAAATACACTTCAGCTTCTCCACTAGCTTCTCTGAAAGGCTAAAAAAAAGCATTCTCCTAACCCTGGCATCACTTCAAGTTATCACATCATACCCTCCTTTTCATTTACTAGTTAACTCCTGGAAAAATTGTTTACACTTAGACTTTAATTTCTCACCAGTGTCCAGACGCTGTCATCTGGCTTATGACTCTACCACTCTACTAAAACTGCTCCCTCAAAGGTTGCCAATAATCTCTTGGTTGTGAAGTACAGTGGCCTTTTCTCAGTCTCATTCTGGGTTTGAGTCCTGACCTTGCTCTTTACTAGCAGTGTGACCTTGGAGAAATCACTTAACTTCCCTGGGCCTGTTTCCTCTTCTGTGTAATGAGGAGGAAATGCATCGTAATACAACTTTTCACACTACCTACCTCATAGGGTTGTTGTGAGGATCAAATTGGATAATGGATATAAAGTGCTTTGTAACCATTAAGCAGCACATAAATGTCAGTGATGATGATGATGTCATTGATGTCTCCTCATTCCAGTTTCTTCTACCCTGGTGATCCTCACATCCCTTGATGGACTCCGTGTTCACCCTGTATTTCATGCCAGGTTCTCTCCCTCCCACATCTTCATTCTTTTACTAATCTCTTCTTTCCTTGGCTTGGAAATCTACATGGAGTGTCATCAGAGCCTTAGTTAACTTGATGATTTTGCTCTCAGTTTCAGGTGAGCTAGTTCCTGTTTCCCAGCAAAGGAACAGGTGACATCAGTATTGTCATTGTATGGTTTCAGAGGATGAGACTGTATCTGAGAATAAAGAGATGATTCCAAAGCAGGACATTTCTGAAAAGTCAAAGCCCAGGCTAGTTATCAGCAGCATCGCCAGTGGCTGTTCCATAGGCCCCTGCTGTTGGAGAGGACTGATAGTGAGGGGAGCTTACAGAGATATTGGTCAAACCTGGAGAAAAGAATTAGTTAATTCCTTCCCCAGGAGATACAGTTCAGTCATGTGACAAGCCTGTGTTATACATAAGTTATGCAAAAGGAAGCCTATAGAAGCCAGATCCCAGATATATGATTAATATGACCACAGTTTTAATCAGAATTCAGTTTTCCTAAGACAGTGGAGTAAACACAGAAAAGAAAAACCTTATGAATATAGTAAACACGGGCAAGTCTTTAAACATCAAAAAATTCATATGGGAGAAACACCCCATGAATGTAATAGATGTGGGAGCTTAGATCTTACTGAACATTAGAGAACTCATGACTGAAAGAAAACCTTTAAATGTAATCAAAATGGAAAAGGATTTAATTTGAATATAAACCTTATTCAACATCAGAGAATTCACAATGGAGAAAAACGCGTTGTATGTAACAAACATGGAAGAGTATTTATTTGGCACTTGTTACTTACTTGGTATCAGAGAATTTACAGTAGAGAAAAGCCCTGTATATGCAGCGAATGTGAGAAAGCCTTCAGGCTTAAGGAATACCTTATTCAACATCAAAGGAATAGGAGAGAGAAACTCTCTTCATGCAATGATTATGAGAAAACCTTTAGGAGGCATTCAGATCACAGCCAACATTTGACAGTGGATTGAAATTGTATGAGTGTATTGAGTGTGGGAAATCTTTCAGAAGGAGCTCAGCACTTAAAAAGCATCAGAAAACTCCTATAGAAGAAAAATCCTTTGAATGTACAGAATGTATGAAATGCTTTGGGAGGGGCTCAGAGCTTATTGAGCATCAGAGAATTCTTGGAGGGGGGAAAAACCTGGTGAATGTAATGAATGCGAGAAACCCTTCCATCTTAATACATATCCTGTTGCACATCACAGAACATATGTTGGTCCTATGAATGTAAAGAATGTGGAAAAGACTTGAGGAGTAACACATACCTTATTCAGCATCAAAACATTGCTGGTGGAGGGAAGCCATATAAAAGTAACGAATGTAAGAAAGCCGTCAGGAGCAACATGTGCCATTTTCAACATCAGAGAATTCACCAATGAAGAGAAATTCAACAAATGTAAAAAATGTGGGAAGGCCTTCAGAAGAGCTCTGAACTTACTAAACATCAGACAATCCATGAAGAAGAGAAGCCCTGTGACTATTCAGTATGGAAAAGCCTGCAAAAGAACTTAGACTTTAGTAAATAGCAGAGGATTCATATAGGAGGGAAAACCCTTTGAAGGTACCAAATGTGAGAAAGCCTTCAGTCAGAGATCAGATTGAAGTAAACATGACATAAACATGAGAGATTTCATACTGGAGAAAACTCTATAGATATACTAAGTGTTGGAAATCATCTAGACCAGGGGTAGGGAACCTGTGGCCTTGGGGCCCTCTAAGTCCTCAAGTGCAGCCCTTTGACTTAATCCAAACTTCACAGAACAAATCCCCTTAATAAAAGGATTTGTTCTGTAAAACTTGGACTCAGTCGAAGACCCGTACTTGAGGACCTAGAGGGCCCCATGTGGCCTTGAGGCCGCAGGTTCCCCACCCCTCATCTTGGCAGTGTTCCAACTTGATTGAACATTAAAGAAGTCACAGTGGAGAGAAATGCTTTGAATGTAATGAACATGGAAGAACCTTCAGAAGGAATTCCAGACTTATTAAATATATGAGAATTCACTGTGGTGAGAAACACTAGGAATGTAGAAGAGCCTTATTCAACATCTGACAACTTACACCATAATGTAACCCTGGGTATGAGAGATGTGGGAAAGATACCATTCATTCTTGTAGGCTTATACCCCAGAGAATCCCCTTTGGAACCTGACTCCATAATAGATTGATAATAGATAATAAGCATCTCAGACTCAGGATGTATGTCTTTGTGTGTCTTGAATATAGAGCCCTAAGCTTAGTGACTTGCTGATTAGGTCTTCATGTTTCACCTTGTTCATATCCATATCATCTTGTGCTTTGATTATCCTAACAGGCACTAGTCTCTTTGTCTTTAGTCTCTGGTCCCTAGATCTAGTCCACCTTTTCCACACTGCCAGATCATTTTATTCCATTTATTTTTTAAATTTTTTTGCAAGGCATGGGGTTAAGGTCTGTGATTTCATTGGCATAGGGAATTCTTAATGAGGAAGCTTCCTCCATAGTTGGGGAACTTCCTGGGAAACTGAGAGATTGTGTCTTGTATAGAGGAATATATTCATTATGTGTCACAGGTAAGATAAGGCTTGGACCCGAGTCTTAATGACCCCAAGGCTGGCTATATCTAGGCACTGTATCTCACTGCCTTTCACATTATTTTTACAACAAAGTCTTCGTTGTGTAACTTATGAGTGTAAACATGGTATACTGCCGCTCTGACTATATCTCAATTCTTCCTGGTGTGAAGGCAGAGAGAGCTAAATGCCCTTAAGATGGATCTAGATGTCTAGAAGAGGTGTGGGGACTCAAGTCAGGGAAGGGTGATTCTCTATGCTTGGTTCATGTTAACAATTCACAGCATGGATGGGATTAGGTTATTATGGAAAAGATTCCCTAGAATCTTCGTGGCAGCTGGTCAAGGCACCTGTCTCATGGATAAATACCAGAAACATTCTTCCTCTTTGCTAATAATTTTCACTATAATTGATGAGATTAACATCTCTCCTCATGTATCATTAGGATGCAACCAAACTAAAATGTAATCAATTAAAAACTAAGGATAAATTTGGGAATTCTAAGCTGAAATGAAAGTCTTGAAATGAAGAGTTACCTAGCTTACGTTTGTATAACGTTTTGAGGTTTGCAGAATGCTAACGGACATGAAAGCAAGGTGGTACAGCAGATAGAGCATTTGTATTTGGAATCAAGAAGGCCTGAGTTCAAATTATGCTTCAAATGCTACAGTGTGCCCTTGAGCAAGTCACTTAATCTCTCTGTGTCTCAGTTTTCTCATCTGTAAAGTGGGGATAATAGAAGTATCTATCTCATAAGATTGTTTTGGGGTTAAATGAAATAACATAGAACACTTTGCAAGCCTTGAAGTTCTGTGCAAATTGCCCTAAAGATCTTAGTGCAGAGTAAAGCTTAAGCTATTGGTTTAAAATTGCATTAAGAACTTTGGAATACCCTGTGTAAACACTAGTGATGATGATGATGATGAAGAAGAAGAAGAAAGTGTGGTGGTCCACATGTAATAGAGAAAAGGTAGCAT